GCTTAACCGACTGCGCCACCCAGGCGCCCCTAAAAATCTTTAAAGCTGTTGCCTGGATCCAGTCTGACTGTATGACCTTTTATTTATTTATTTTTTTAAATTTTTTTTTCAACGTTTTTTATTTATTTTTGGGACAGAGAGAGACAGGGCATGAACGGGGGAGGGGCAGAGAGAGAGGGAGACACAGAATCGGAAACAGGCTCCAGGCTCCGAGCCATCAGCCCAGAGCCTGACGCGGGGCTCGAACTCACGGACCGCGAGATCGTGACCTGGCTGAAGTCGGACGCTTAACCGACTGCGCCACGCAGGCGCCCCCTGTATGACCTTTTAAATGTGAAGACATGACAATTAGTGAGAAGAAAACAGGTTTTAGAGGCTGGTGATCTTGGGCTGACCACTGGTTCTAAGTTGTTTTTTTTCTTTTTCTTTTTTTTTTTTTTCAAGTTTAAGAGGGAGGGAGGGAGAGAGAGAATGAGATCACGACCTAAGCCAAAACCAAGAGTTGGATGCTTAACCAACTGAGCCACTCAGGTGCCCCCTAAGTTATTTGTTGTGTAACTTTACCTAATTTTTCTGAGCCTGCTTTCTCACCTGTAAAATGAATATATAACCCGATAGGGAGCTACTTGGAAGACAAGCAGTAAATCTAACACCAAAAAGGCTGAATTAACACCTTTAGAGACCCATTATCATCAGGACTCTGGTGCCAGAATCAGTCAGGATATTAGTAGAGAACAGAGAACACACTTGAACTAGGTAACTTGACGAAGGTTTAATAAAGGGACTATTTACAAAGACATGAGCAAAGTTCAGGGGAACCAACAAGGAATGATGGAATGATCCAGAGCTAGTAAGGGAATAATCCTTTCCCTAGATTTGAAGGGGCAAAGTGACGGAGCTAGAAGCTAGAGAGGGCTTCTGAACAGGAGTCGTGGCCTTTGGTAGAGGGTCACAGACGATCCATGTGACCTGGGGATGAGGAAGCCTGGTGAATAAATACCCTGACCGTCCTCTCCTCATGCCTTTTGATCTTGAAGTTATTACAAATTGGATCAACACAACCTGAAGTCAGAGGGCAAAGGACCCTGTCAGTGCAGTCCGTGTGGGCCAAGCCCTCCCGGGGCACAGAATAGGATGGGAGCGGCTCTGAAGGGGACGCAGAAGACACCCTCCACCACCTGTGCCGCAGCATAATTCAAGCCAATTAACTATTATGCACAAAACTTGTATATATGCTGAAAATGAAATTACTTCTTTCTAGAATTTCTAATTGTAAAATGAGAATACTAAGCAGATTTCTTCTCAGTCTTTTTGGTGTCCCTACTTTGCTGGTGCCTTAAGCACATGCCTAGATGGCCTCATGGCCGCCCTGCGTGTGGCACCTGGACAAGAGAGCCTCAAGAAACGGGAACTGGCAAGTGTCAGCTTAACTCCTGAATGCTGACTGATCCAGAATGAATTTAGAAGGACTCAGGATTTTTCTGTTTAGGTCTCAGTCATTAAGGAATTCAGAAACTGGATTTTCTTAGACTCAAAAAATCCCATGATAGCAAAACTTCTTATAATCCTAGTGAATGATAGGAAACGTTTATAATTTCTTATTGAAGAGAATAAAAGAAATCAGGACATCAATTTCACATTGACATTTTTATTAACGCCAACTGTTTTTTAATTATTATTTTTTTAAAACAATAGCACAAAAATGTTTCAAGGAAGCAGTCTCACAATCTGATGACCTTCTGAAATACAGTTAAGCCACACCAAATATGAATTCCTGTTAATAACACAAAAAAATATTTTTAAAAAGAAAAATAAAAAGAAAAGGAAAAAGGGAAGAAAAGAAAAAAGGTAGGGCCAGAGAAAAGGAAAGAGGTTTAGAGTTAAAACTCGCTGGATTAGTTGGGCTAGGGGTAGAGGCTTGTTAGTGTGGGATACACCGTTAAAGTTTCAAGAGTGGGCACATTTTATATCGAACCAAGTTACGCCTGGCAAAGTGCCCCTGCAGTAGTTACTACCAGGGATTGCATGGAACGGTGAATGAACCAGGAGAAGCCAGTGTTGACACTGTTGGAAAGAGGCTTAACAGTTGGCCTGTCAGACAACTAAGACCGCTGTTAGCAGAGTATAACCTCTTCCAGAGTGGCTCATTTGAAACCCTTTCACCTCTCCTGTCTCAATTCATATGCATTGAATGTGCAAAGACTTAAAAAAAGAAAGCAAAAATATATCGCTTTCTTCTATTTTAATGTGGGTAAGTGGGAAAAGATGTTTCCTTGGTGTTATTTTCTTTTATCTCTCAAGAAGGACACTGACTGGGAGGGGGAGCAGGAACTAGGGAAGAGGAAAAAAAACCCAGACTGGAGAAGTTTGGTTTTTTAACTTTTTTTTTTTTTTTGGCCAAATATATAATACAGAAGGAAGGGTATGGTGGGGAATCCTTGGTTCGATTGTTGAGTTGGCAGGAAAATATATATTCCTGATCAGTCCCCATGCCCAAAAAAAAAAAAAAAAAAAAAAAAAAAAAAAAAAAAAAACCAAAACCCCAAAAACAAAAAACCAAAAAACACTTGGAATTATGCACAGACTCTATGTTATACCAGCTATCAGCCTTTCACGTTTAACCATTCCCAGAGCAATGGACACTACCCTTGGCTTGTAGGCTGCTCGCAGAACCCACTTCACAAAAAATCTTCTTCACCCAGAAGCCTCTAGTTTCCTTTTGGTAGGTTATAAAAACAGAACATCTGTCATTAACAGGAGAGTGTTAAATACTTTTAACCACTGACAAGGCTTCAGGAAGTTTCACAGTTTCGTTATGCTCTATTTTATTACTATCATATTTACATTTTTTATTTTTTATTTTTATTTATTTACTTATTTTTTTGCTGAATTGCTGATTTTCCTTTTTCAATAGAATTTAATTCTGGAGTGTGAGCAGGAACCAGTTAACTACATTCATCGTCCAACCCCCACTGGTTTGAAAGAAGACTCCAAATTCTCGGCATATGAATCAGCTGTTCGGTAGCCCCGCCTCATCCCTGCAGCCAAGCAGCAGAACCGCGGTGGCGGCGCTCAGGGTTCACGCCGTAGGTGGCGAGGCCTTTCGCTGAAGGAGGTACTGGTGAATGCTCTCAGCATCTCGCTTTAGCCAAGCAGCATTCAGCAGGATATTTTCACAACACTGCTGGATGGTGCGCTCAGCTGAAGGAGCTGGGTGGCTCTCGAAGAAAGCCTGGTATAACACAACCCAGAAGGTAGGATCAGTACTAGCAATGGTAAGAAGTTAGAAGTATCACGGGTCATGAGAAGTTACCCACTGTTCTGTAAAGGATTCAAAAGCTTTAATCATGAACATTTACCACTGCTACTCCCAGGCTAAAAGAAAACAAAGCAGCCCCTTAGACCTGCATACAGGAATTCTTCTCCAAATACATGCTTCAAATCTAATCAAAAGGTAACAAAGAGGCAGAACCTCTGGCCTGTCTTTTAGGTTCATTATCTAGTGGTTAATGTAGGGCTCTGGAATTAGGTTGGGACTCAAATCTCGGTTCGGTCATGTATTAGCCTGTGAGTTTGAGTACATTAATCATTCTGTTTTCTCATTGGTAAGAAACTATTTAGTCCAGAAGTTTAAGAGAAAATCCATAAAAACTGTTAGCACAATACTTGGCAGGCAGAGTCCTTAAGGATGCACACATTCTGGCTGCTTCAAACAAAGATTAATTTGTGAAGGCGATAAGACCACAAAGATTAAATTGCTGCTCCACAGACTCACATCTTTCATACAACAAAACCATTTCTGAGTTTATTATAATTTATCCAAAGCTTATCGATTAAAGATTCAATAAACTACGTTCCAATGAAGTATACCGAGATTCATAGTAAACAGAGCAACTCTTAAATACCAACCAACAAAAGGATAGGGGTCTTTACTTTGAACCAGTCGTCACAGGTGTAAAGGAAAAGAATGACTAATTCATCAGATTAAGTCTAGGACTTTTGGAAATCAATAACCTCGTTCACACAAACCACAATGGCGCCTTCGCTGAGGCTCGTTCTTGGGGCTGGGTTCTTAGGGCCCAAGTACAATACAGAACTGCCCCTCATTCCATCTCCACAAATAGCACCACTGTTTACATATAAGAAACCCAGGAATTATCGCTGATTCTTCCTTCTTCCTCTGCCAGGTACATTCACAACACAGAGAAGCCAATCAGTAAATATTTGTTGAATTAAAGATTAACAAACCCAAGCCCTTGAATTTCATAACTCCATCTCCTGAAAGCTACTCTATCATTCTTGCTTGCGGTCAGCATCCCAAAATGTTTCTCTTTCCCATACTGCAGCCAGACTGAAATTTTTATGGTACAAATCACATCAACTCACTCCCCTGTTGACAAGCAGTTCAAGGGCTTTGCACTCTTAGGAAAATTCATATGGCCTCCAAGGCCCTCCAGTCTGGCCTCTACCTATCTTCCCGGCCTCAGCTTGGCCACTCACTGCCTTTCCCCTCCAAACCAGGTATATGTACTTCTCCTTCAGAGTACTTCTATCCTTTACGGTAAAGTAACTGTTTCCACAGCATACAATGTAAGTTAAATGAAGGCAGAGATCAAGTCTTCCACTGTTTTCTCAATACCTGAAATCTTAAAATTCCAAACAATGGCTCACAGAGTGAGTGAAACAACACAACAGCCCTCAGAGCCTCCACATTCACACCTCGTAACCCCACTGCCTTCAAGAAGTAAAGGTAAAAGTGACTCTTCAAAAATAACTTCACAATTAAATGCAATGGAAGGCTTAACATTAAGATTTCCCTCATCAGTGTATATCTGTTCCTCAAATGCTGAACTTTACCACTAAACTGAAGATTCTCCTTTGTAAGGGCTAAGAGGAGATTCCTTGCATAGCCATCTTGTCTCCTCGTGCACAGGACAGACCTATGAAGGTTGTTTTTAGAAAGGAAAAAAAGAACCATTATCGAGGACCTACTACTCTGTTCCAGTCCCACTACATTACTTAAATAACAATCTTATCATCATTCCATTTTATGGATGAGGAGACAGGCTCACAGGGATCAAAAAACTTACTTGAAGTCCCATAGCTAACATAGGGCAGAGCACAGATTTATACTCAGATCGACTGATTCCAAGTTCCACCACGTTCCTTCAACCATATTGCAAAGCGCTCAAAGATGATTCCAACCCTAAATTCTTCAAGCATTAAAGACACAACCCAAGCTGTCTTTTTCCAAGCAAAAACAAGGATAAATACAGCATTACCCCAACATCGTATCATTACAATTTGGCTCATTAGTGTTTTTACTTACTAGATTGAAAAGTAAAAAGGAAACAATACTTTGCTTACCTTAACCTCTCCAGCCATTTTATCAACTGCAAATCCCTCAACTGATAGCTGAAAAAAACAATGGTTTAAATAGTAAATGTAACTAAAAGACGCTAGGAACAAACTTCCATTTACCTAAAAACCAAATCATTTTATAGTCTCCCAACTTCAGAATATTCTAGAAGGTGCAGGATGGGTGATGGAGAAGCCCTTTAATAAAGCTAATAATTATTTAAGGAACTTTTTTTTTTTTTTTGGAAGAAACCCTTAAAGAGCAAAGACTATAGGCCTAGTGAATCAGGGATGTCTCTAAATAACATCTATGATAAGCAAGCTACTCAAAATAAAAATCTTCACACACCTTTATTAGTCTGGATATTAAGAATCCTCCCTGGTATCGATTATAAAGTTCTTCCCAGTTGTCTTTTATAAACTTCCAAGCAGCCTTCCTTCCATGCTTGCTGCCTCCTGCCACTCCACCAATTACTGACACAGTGTCCTGTGGGCGTACCTCTTCCTAGAAATAGAAAGAGAACGAAAAGTCTACTGTACTCAAAACATCTTCTGGTGCCAGAAAGGGCAAATGCTGTTGAGGTACCCAAGTAATCACACTGAAGACCCTCATTCCTTATTTTAGGAATAACTGGCACCAGAAAGCTTCCTAAAGATCAGCCAAATTGAGAATGAGGCACTGAGACAGGTAAAAACAGGCTGCTGAATAGATGTTTGCTTGGGTTCCTACAGGATAAAGAAAGGAAGAGACAGACAGTAGGCACAGGGGTAAGATAAGTAGGCTTGCCAGTTTATTCCTGCTTCCAACTATCCCGATTCCCACCGTTAGAGGCAGATATAGATAGAGGTCAGTAACAAAAGCCCATTCCATTTCCCCCAGACTAAGAGGAAAGGGTTAAAGCAGATCAAGAGAATACTGAATCAAAGACAGCTGCCACAGATTGATAGGTTACAATTCCCTCTAAAAGCAGTTTTCATTGTAACTTACTGAAAGTGCAAACGTGAGGACTTTTTGAATCAATTCAGGTGAAAGAGTAGCCCCAAGGACCCTTTCAATTCGGTTTTTCTCTTCCTGCATATCTGCTTGTTTGTGAAGCTATAGTGAAAAAATACAGATCGAGATAGTTAACTGTCCCCTGGAAGTCAGACACATGCTTATATGAGCTTCTCCCCCAGTAAGGTGAAACTTCTGTTCTATATTCTCATTGGCTAGGTGCTCAGGGCATAAAATTAACAGAAGATAAAACTTAACAGGATGTTCAGGCACTAAATTTGTGATTTACCATTATAGTAAGTCACTAAATGTAAGTGAGTACTATGTGAATGGCTGGTCATCAGTTCTGAGCAGTTTAAATTCAAGATCTGAGGGGTATGATGTCTGACTAATGTTCTGTGTTAAATGAACAAACTGATGATTGCCAATACCATTGAAGGTCATCAATTTAATTTCTAATAGTCAAAAATGCATGTTAATATTAACGATGGTCTCTGATCAGTGGGATTCTGTATCATCAAATTTTTCAAATGCAAAAGCATCGCATGCTGAATGCAGGAAATTAGGAAAATGAGAAGCATAAAGAAAAAATTAAATTATTACAATATGTACATTACCAAATTGGACATCAGATCATCTTATACCTATTTTGTGACCTTTTTAAACATTTCAAATTACAGGTAAGTATTTTCTTTATACTTTTCTAGTCTCTAAATCTTCCACAGTGATTATACCGAGTCTTTTTTCCACCATCAGAAACAAAACATTATGCATACAAAAATTACAAGCATATATGAGATATCTCTCCAAGACAACTTAATCGATAGACTCTGTTGACTTTTTTTCTCACTGAAGATTTTACACTGACCAGTGTCCGCACACCCCATCACAGGCCCCCATTTCCTCTTCTTTTCCTTTGATTTCTTTTGAGCAGCAGTGTAGTCAAATAGATAGAAGTCAGGAGACCTGGGTTCTAGTCCTGGTTTTGTGTCTAACTAGCTGTGTGACCTTGACTAAGTCCTTAACCTCTTTGGATCTCAGTTTCCTCTTGTGTAAAATGAGTGGGGTGGGAGATAATTTCTAAGGTCCTTTTCAGCTCCAGGACTCAAGGTCTGAACTCTGGCTTTCAAGAAGCATGGTTTTCCCCAAGGAGAACCTGTTAAACTAGTCCACTAGATGGCACCATAACACCACATTCCAAATATACTTTGACATCAAAGTTCTTTTTTAGCAGGCCTCATTACTCCTAAATTACCAACAGAAGACAATCCTCCTCATCTCCCATCAACTGGTTTCTTGAAGAAACCTAATTTGGCCTTCATTAGAGCTCTTTTGATAGTAAATCAGAATTATAGTCAGCTCCCTTACATTAAATAGATGCCAACACTTATTAAATATACATACTAGAACAAATTCTTAAAAGTGTGCTATGACATGAAAATGTCAAGGTATCTGTCATGAGAATTTCAGAACCCCTATTTTGTTCCATACCGCTATGGAAAAGACAAAACCCACAAATATCTGATTTCATATGCAAAGAAATACAGGATTCATAGTACACAGTTTCACAGATTAAGACTGAGAAGGGACCTCAATGTCATTTAATTAAAAGTTAAGTTAAACCCAAAGTATAATTTTGATATTATTAGAAAGGAAACTCTTGTCCAAGATCAGTAAAGTGGCACATTTTGAGTTTCTTAAAGTTTACATTTTTCAAAATATTTTAATCATTTAAAAAATATGATTTGGGGGCGCCTGGGTGGCTCAGTCGGTTGAGCATCTGACTTCTGCTCAGGTCATGATCTCGCGGTCCCTGAGTTCGAGCCCTGTGTCTGGCTCTGTGTTGACAGCTCAGAGCCTGGAGCCTGCTTCGGATTCTGTGTCTCCCTCTCTCTCTGCCCCTCCCCTGCTCATGCTCATGCCCTCTCTCTCTCTCAAAAATAAATAAACATTAAAAAAAAAAAACAGGATTTGTTTAAAATGAAATACTAGAAATTGGATTTGCAATTTTGATCTACTTGAGGTCAGAAAAGTGTTCTTAATCCATTAAAGATGGAAGTAGCAAAGCACATCCTATTCCTGTTCTGTTTGTTCCCACTAAGAGCAGGTCTTTAAACGAATGGGCTTTGCAGATTTGACACGTAATTTGGGTATTTAGACACATTTTGCACATTTTATTCGATGGTAATAAGTACATTCAGCTCCCCCTACCTGTCAAGTGATTTCTTAGACTGACAACCGCATGGACAGGGACTGGAGAAGTACAGTATCTGTATTAGAGTTTAATTACATGCCAACCCTCTAGGGAAACTACAGAGGCTACGCAGGCAAGTCAATTAATTTCCTGTCCGTTCATAAGAGGCACTGACATAACTCAAACCCTGGAGACACCTGATTCTCTCTCCCCTAAGCACGGACACAAACCTTTTCTTCAAAATGGGAAGGATCCTATGTAAGTTTACACAGAAGGGAAAATTTTAAGAGCTTGACTTGTTAATCAAAATGAATACTTCATTTTTTGGTTTAAGATACATAAACTTACAAATTAAAAAAAGTGAGAACACTAGATGACTTCTGGCATTGTATTGGTAGTACACGTGAACAGACATGGTATCTCTCTCCCACAGTTTCTTAATATTTGCCTGTCTGCAACATGCATATCTACATATATTTCTTTCGCCAGGACTTTTTTTTTTTTTTAACCACTTAAAGCTTGTACTGTGTCAATCCAAGTTTTACAGCAGAAGATGGAAACCCTTTCCAAATGTACTCACCTTTAGCATAATGTCTAAGGTAGTGCCATCACCATGCTTCAAAACAGTCAGATAAACCTACAAGAGAATACAGGAACAACAAAGAAGGCATCTGATTAAATGCATCTTGTTCCAAATATTCTAATGTTAAGACAGAAAGCAAGTCAACACGATTGTAAACAGCTGTGTGTGGATGTTACGTACAAACTGTGCGACAAAGAGCTTCGGAGCCCATACTGAAAACCAGGCAGGGAGACGGCATGCACACCGGCTCTCTCAGGGGAATGTGCACAGATAATCAGCTTTAAGCACAGTGTAGTCTGAGAAACTTTAAACAAACGAGAAGCTGGCTACAACCACCTAAATGGCACATATTAACACAGAGTCAGACACAATGTGTGGGTCAGTGTCTAGGTCATTTCTGGTTACCATTAAATACATCCCACACTGTGTGCAGAATGATGCAGTCATCTAGAAATCAAGGTTATTTATCATGAAAACCTACAGGACTCCTCAGATCAGCGGAGAGAATCTGTTTCCCTTCCACATGGTCCTTAAACCGACGGCGGGCTTCTTCTAATGTTGCCTTATGTCCTGCTTTTCCCAGTTTGCCCAGAACCAAGCCCCTCAGGAGTGCATCTAGATGACCTGATTAAGAAGTAAAAGAGACACAACACTGCTTAAAAATCCCATTTTCACAAATATGCTACTTGGATATCTTATACCACGTCTACCATCTTGAACAAACACAATCAATTACCCTAGTACTTGAGAGAACACTGATTTATATTGTTCAAATCATAAGAGTGAAATGAAGTGCTAATAAACACACTAGACAAACAAATAAATTTGCTGACTTTGTCTACAAATGCCAATGATCTGAATTTACTAAATGTTCACTCCATCTAGGTAATTACATTGCTAAGGATTATATGTGAAAGAAACAGGCTTAGATCATGCAGTTTTGACCCAAGATTCAGAAAAAAGGCCACATACTGAACTAGTACGCTGTGTATAACCAACTGAAATCTTAGATTTTTAAAAATCGAAATCTGATGGATCGGTTTACTCCAATAAGCACATAAAGAGATGTTCAACTTTGGTCATTAGGGAAATGCAAATCAAAACCACTGTGAGATCTGCTTCACACCCACCAGGATGACTAAAAAAGACGGACAATGACAAGCACTGTCAAGGACGTGGAGAAGTTAGAACCCTCATACGCTGCTGGCGGGAACGTAAAATGTTGTGACCACTTGGAAAAACAGTCTGGCAATTCCTAGAGAGGTTAAACATGGGGTTACCGTATGATCCGGCAAGTCCACGCAATAGAAATGGAAGTGTTAGGTCCACAAAAATTTGTACACACATGTTCACAGCAGTATTCACAACTGTCAAAAAGTAGAAACCATCCAAACACCCACCAAGTGATGAAAACACAAAATGTGGTATATCCATACAGTAGAATACTATTCAGCTATAAGAAGATGCGGTACTGACAGACAACACGGATGAACCTTAGCAACATTGTGCTAAGTGAAAAAAGTGAGACACAAAAGGCTACACGGGGTATGATTCCATTTACAGGAAGTGCCCAGAGTAGGCAAATCCATAGAGACAGACAGCAGATTAGTGGTTACCAGGGATCGGGATTGCCAGGGGATGGGGAGTGACTGCCATGGGTATGGAGTTTCTTTTGAGGCTAAAGAAGTTATTCTGGAATTAGATGGTGGTGACGGTTGTGCAATGCTGTGAACAAACTAAAAAAGACTGAGTTGTATACTTTAAAAGGTACATTTTATTATATACTATGTCTTAAAAAAAAAAAGTTAACACTAGCAATGATGGATTGCAGTACCAAAACAGCTAAGTCGTGGTACATACAATGAAATACCACTAAGCAATAAAATGGAATGAACACCCTGGATGTATCTCTAGCACATTATATTGAAAGAAGCCAGATTTAAGAGCAGGAAAAAATATATTAGGATTCCATTTACATAAAGTTCTAGAAGAGATAATATTAATCTAGGGTGAAAAAAGGCAGAATAGTGTTTGCCTGGAGGGGATGGATAGGGGAACCGGCCTGGCAAGGACTGACTGGGAAGAGGCCCCGAGGCAACCTCTTCAGTGTATTTTTTGTCAAAAGTCGCTGAATTGTGACATTAAAATTTTTTTTTAATGTTTATTTATTTTGGAGAGAGCAGGGGAGGGGCAGAGAGAGAGAGAGAGAGAGAGAGAGAGAGAGAGAATATGAATATCCGGAGCAGGCTCCAGGCTCTGAGCTGTCAGGACAGATCTCGACCCAGTGCTCAAACCCATGAACTGAGAGATCATGACCTGAGCTGAAGCTGGATGCCTAACTGACTGAGCTACCCAGGCGCCCCAAGAAATGTAACATTTAATTGTGCATTTTGCTACATTTAAATTATAACTCAGTAAAAAAATAAGTCCAAGAAAACAATAGGAGATCAATACATAACACAACAGGACACTAGTGAGGTTCTTAGAAGAACCAATTTGTAATTCTGACTCTGGTACTCACTTGCTGTGTGACACAAGGGAATGTTTTATTATTTTGCTGTTTGATTCTTCTATCTATAAAACTAGAAAACTAAAGATATTCTCCCTATTTCATTAAGGTGTTTTTGAGCCGTGCAAGAGAAGTACAACATCCACCAGTCTGCGTGGATCTGACCCCACATACCCTCTCATGTTTTGTTTCTACGGCTCTGTGCTCCTGTCTAAAGCACACTCCTCCGTTGGGTCCCGACTCCTCTCCATCGCTTGGCCATCGCTCCAGGAATTACCCCCCGTCTCTTTCACATCACGGATTTTTCTATTACTACTCTAGCATTGTCATCAGCACAAAAACATGTTACAAAATCTCCCTCTTTATTAAAAAAAATATATATATGCCTCCACTGACTCTACATCTCTCCCCAGACTATCCCCTTTTCTCTGATTGCCTTTTCAGCAAAAACTCCTTGAAGAAGTTGTCTGAATGTGGGGCGCCTGGGGGGGTGGCTCAGTCGGTTAAGCGTCTGACTTCGGCTCGGGTCGTATCTCACGGTTCTTGAGTTCAAGCCCCACATCCAGCTCTGTGCTGACAGCTCAGAGCCTGGAGCCTGCTTCCGATTCTGTGTCTCCCTCTCTCTCTCTCTGCCCCTCCCTTGCTCATGCTCTGTCTCTCTCTCCCAAAAATAAACATTTAAAAAAAAAAAAAAAAAGTTGTCTGAATGCGCCCTTTGCTTACCCCCTCCCGCTCTGGAGAACCACTAGTGCTCTCCGCCGCGCCGCAGAACTTGCTGATGGCCTCACCAACCCCCTTCATCTCGCCGGACTCAGAGCACCAGCTGTCACAGTGGGTAACACTCCTTCTGCACTGCTTCTTAAGACGTCTGGAACATCTCCTCCCTCCTGACTCTCCCACCTCAGTGGCCAGTCAGTCTCCCTTGCGGACTCCTCGTCTTCCACTCAATCTCCAAATCTTGGCCTGGCCTCGGACCTAGCCCTCAGACCTCTTTTGTCTGCCTACACTCAGGCCCTGCGTGATCTCGTCCAGTCTCGTGGCTGTAAACACCATCTACACACTAAATGCATTTATTCAGCCTGGACCTCTAGGCTTGACTCTCCACCTGGATGTCTAAGTTGACATGTCCAACACCCAGCTCCTGATTCCCTCTGTTCCCAGCCCGCTTCTACGGCCGTCCTGTTCTGTATCTGGCAAGGTCACCCCTCCGGTCCTCAGGCCAGAATGTGGTGGCTCCTCCTTCTTCCCCTTGCAGTCAGTCCACCACCAAATAGGTTCAGTTCGACCTTCAAAACATGCCCAGAATCTGCCACCTGCAAGTGTAAGCTGCACCCGGCACCTCAACTGGATTACTCGAACAGCTCTGTAATGTCTCCCTGCTCCTGTCTCTTGCCTCTCCACTCGTCTGGGTCCCACACAGCTGAGTACGTCAAGTCACGTTCTTGTGCATCAGCTCTCAAGTCACTTTCTCATATCACTGACTGTGAAAGTCGAAAATGTACTAGGTCCCACAGGTCCTATAGGAGCCGCACTGCTTCCCACTCTGTCCCCCTCACTTACTCCGTCCTGATGTAACTAGCCTCCTTGTTATTCCTTGAACAACCCAAGCTTGCTCCTGCTGCAGATCTCCTGCACTGGCTGTTCCCTGTCTGGACCATTTCCCTCTAGATGGCCTCACAGCTCTCTCTCGGGTCTCTGCTTATGCTCATATTACCACTTCATCATGAGTGACTGTTGCCCTGACCAGGCTAGGGCGTACCGGCCTACCACTCTTTATCTACCTTACCTAACTTTATTTTTCTTCATGATACTCGTTGCCACCTGAATTATCGTATGTTCAATGGTTTGCTGTGTCTCCCACTAGAATGTAAGCCACACAGGGCAAAGCTTTCTTCACTGCTGTACCACCAGCTCCCAGAATAGTACCTGGTATTTACTAGGCGCATAAATATTTGTTGAATCCACAAGGGGAAAACATAGAGCTCTAGGTAATTGTTACTGTTGTTCTTATTGCAAAAGACTCTGAGATCAAGACTGCCAGGATGAAATACCACCTTTAGTTATTTGCAGATGGTAGAAAACAATTATATATAAAACCACAAGATCACCATTCCCAACATATGATGACGGCAAAAGAGTAAATACACAATTATGGAAATAATCAGAGGAGAGAACACATGTAGAAGGTCAGTAACTTCCTTAATTCACTTACTGTCTCTCGGTATCTTTCCAAGTTGTACATATAAGGTGCCTGATATTTATGGCAATAATAAATAAAATCATCTAAAATTCCCTTTAGCTTTTCTTGACTATAGACAGGCCTTTGGAATGCTGTAAAAGGCCTCTATTTCCACCATTTGTGTTGTTTACGAATCGTATTTAACAGTGAATACACACAACCACCACTGTTTTTATGTTGGTGACCCATGTAACTTCACCAATAAACTTAAAAGACCTAAGATTTAATTTCTGGGGAGCTGAAAACATAGTAACACCCAACAGATACCAAGATGCTACTGATACTGTTAACCACAGCTGAGTAAAAAGGGTCCAATTTCTCATCAATTCTTTCCCCATTCCGTGCATCCGTTACCTTCTCCAGGTTTGGGGTCCCAGCCTAGTCTCTCCCCTATGGGTGAAAAGACATCTTTCACAAACTCCTGGATTTCCTCATAGAAGTCTGTGTGGGACAAGAGAGTTGAGAGAATCCCCAGGTTACAGCTCAGGTCGCTCCATACAGTATAATTGGGCTCATTCACAAAAGCCTCCATGACTTTTAGAACCTCTACAGTGCTAATGATTCCAGCTCGAGCCTGGGATAGGAAAAAACATAAATTAATCTAGTCTTCAGACAAAAACAAAACAAAGAAACACAAGCATGCATTTTCAGCATTATCTACTGCTAGTCAGTCATTTCTTTGGTTGAAAGAACACAGGGGATTATGAGAATAAAACTCCTATCATGACAATATCCCTTATTTACTTTTTGTTATTTGTGAGAGAGCAACTTAGGTACACTTTGTTTGGTGACAGGTGGTATAGCTACACTTGTGGTGAGCACAGCATGAGGCGCAGACTCGTGGAATCACTATGCTGTCCACCTGAAACTGATGTAACACTGTGCATCAACTATACTTCAATGAGAAAGAAAGCAAGGGAAAAAAAAGAAAGCAAGAAGGAGAGCCGTTAACTTCCTATTTCTATCCAGTGTCTGGGGCCTTGGCTTTGTTTTTATTTTTAAAATTCTCATACTTTCAGAAAAGACACAACAATAGTTAGGGCTTTGGTTTTTGACAGAGGCTCTTTCAAAGCTGGACCTGCCAACTGTGTCAACTTCAGTCTGTCCTTTACTCATTTGTGAAAGAAGGCAAACTGGAAGGCCTTTCAGAATTAACTAACAGAGTTAGGAAAAGGAACTCGTGTTACAGCAGCCAACTGCACAAATACACCACTCTCCTGGGACAGGTCTCTCTCAGCAATGAGATCAGCAGATGTGAGGTTTTGTGCATCAGTGCTAATCTGTGTTTATACAAAGGAGGAATCCAAAACCAGTTACTGCAGAAGGGAGGGAAAACTCAAGTCCACTTTAAAGGAACACTAGGAGGAATCTGACAATTTTATCACAGACATCTGGAAATTATCTAACCTATGTTGGAGTCATAAAGATAATACTACTAATTGCTGATTTAAATCCTTTCTGGAACAAAGCCAAAAGAAATATAATCCTTTTTTTTTTTTTTAAGTAGGCTCCATGCCCAATGTGGGGCTTGAACTCATGACCCTGAGATCAAGAGTCGGATGCTCTCCTGACGCAGCCGCCCAGATGCCCCACATAAATATAATTCTAAAGCTAATGGACTATTATTTGAGTAGTAATGGAATGTTAAAAAATTCTAGATGTTTCCAGCCAAGTACAATCACTATTTTAGAAAAATATAAATTATTCTGAATTATTAAAAAAAAACAAACAAAAAAAACCAAACATCAGTAGGGAAATTTCTTCAAGGCCCATACCTATTTCTACCGAAAAGAATTTTTGCTTACGAAGGATAGTTTTCATTGCAAAAAGCTGGTTTAGGAGTAGTGACATGGGATTTGTTTCCGGTAAATTATATAGGTTCAATCTTGTCATGTTAATTAATAATTAGTCATTTGTTCTAGTCCCAAAAGGTGTTCAACCTTCAGGAAGAGCCATATTCTTCTAATTATGTTTCAGTCAGATACTCCAGGAAAAACAAAATCCTTTAATCAACAAAATCCATTATACTACTTGAGAGAGGCTCACCAAGGAGAAGAGGTCATTTTGTAATCCAAGTCGATCCACAGGGGGCAGAGAAAGGTCACGAATGCCGGGTAATAAACTTTCCAGCATGGCTGAGCTGTACTGGGTCCGATAAAACCCAACTGTTCCCAGGTTTAACTGAAAAGATACCCAATGGACATTATTAATTAAACAGTTCCATTTGTTTTGTTTGTTAATTTTTAATTTTAGTGTTTGTTTATTTGAGAGCGAGAGCACAAGCAGGGGAGGGGCAGAGAGAGAGAGAGAGAGAGAGAGAGAGAGAGAGAGAGAGAGAGACACAGAATCTGAAGCAGACTCCAGGCTCTGAGCTGTCAGCACAGAGCCCAACGCAGGGCTTGAACTCATGAACCATGAGATCATGACCTGAGCCGAAGTCAGAGACTTAACTGACTGAGCCACCCAGGCGCCGCATCCATTTGTTTTTTAAAGCAGTCTTTTGCAGGTGTGAAAGGAGTTTTGCTTTCAGTATATCTGAGTGAAAACAACAAAGATCACATATGCAGGCAGGGATTAAAATGAAACAACACATAAAGATAGAAAGTGGTTGTCAAAGATGAAAACAGGTGAAAGAAAACAGAAACTTGACATAGTGGGGGACAGAGTGAGAGACGGTAGGAAGGATATGGTTGGGAGGGAGGGAATCACGCGGATCGGTTTCTATGTCTACTCTCGGTGGATGGTTTTAAGTTCACAGAAAATATTTACTATATGTAAGAACACGGGGACAGTGGAATCTCTAAGGAAGACTAAACCTTTACAAAAAGACTCATCTACTCAGCCCATAGTCTCACCAGAATAGCAATGCTCAGGTCCTAGATTTTAAAGAATTGCATGGACTTTAAAGGTAATTTCATATAATTTGTGGAGTGAGATAATCACGGACTGTTATCATTCTCTGTAGGCTAATGACCGACAGGCAAAAATATTTTTGATAATATTTATATACCAAATACCTTAAAGGTAAAATAAGGTAGAAGATACAAGTACTTCACTATTTATGTTTTTAATTTTACTACTTACATGTAAGTATTTTTTTAATTTTATTTATTTATTTTGAAAGAAAGAGAGAGTGAGCACGAGCAGGGAAGGAGGGGCAGAGAGAGAGGTGGAGAGAGCATCCCAAGCAGCCTCCACACTCAGCACAGAGCCTGATGCAGGACCGATCCCAGAACCATGAGATCATGACCTAAGCTGAAACCAAGAGTTGGATGCTTAACTGACTGAGTCACCCAGGTACCCCTGTATTTTTTTTAAATCACCTCACGATAATACAACTGCTATTTTATTGATTCCCTCTACCTTTTACGGCAGGAATAATACCTTTATTTA